GATACTACTGTACTCCCCACTTTATTATATGGATGTCAAAACTGGGCTCTCACAAGGAAAATAATATCTAAGCTACAAGTTTTCCAACGAGCAACGGAACGCAGCATGCTTAACGTTAAACTAAGACATCGCAATAGAAACAGTGATATACGAAAAATAACAAATATCATAGACGCAGCCAAATTAGCGTGTCAACTGAAGTGGAGATGGGTAGGACACGTGGCACGAGTCAGTGATGGGAGATGGACTGAACGAGTGCTACATTGGTACCCGCGTGATGCGACGCGCTCGCGCGGCCGACCGCGGGCACGCTGGTGCGATGATATTGGTATGATGATAGAGGTGGCAGGAGCAACGTGGACGAGGCTAACGGCAGACAGAACTTCATGGAAAAGGATGGAGGAGGCCTTCACCCGGAAATGGGTATCCCATAATTATTAAAATTAATATAATAAATTACGACTCTATTTTATGTGTATAGCCAAATTCAGTAGATTATTATTAACTTCAATTTTATTATTTTAACTTTATATTTTGTGACAAAAATCAAAATAAGTTGACAATTACTTGAAAATATAAATATAAATTAATTATTTACCCTAACATTATTTATAAATAATCAAAAATTAATTTTGTAAATTTAATTTAAACTTTTTATTTAAAATTGACACTGGCATTATCATGTCTATTAATTAAAAAAAATTGCATGACTCATAATAATATTGTATTTGGTTTTAACTAATATCGACTGTTGTATGAAAATTGGGAATTAAATGGCTATTATTATTATTATTATATTGCTTCCCGAACAAAAACGAGTTTTTGACAAAGTATTAGGACAAATTGAATCTGGAAATGGTGCACTTTTCTTTTTAGATGCCCCTGGAGGAACTGGGAAGACATTTTTGTTAAATTCATTATTAGCGCAAGTACGGAAAGATAAAAACATTGCTGTGGCCGTAGCTTCCTCTGGTATAGCCGCCACGCTGCTAAGCGGGGGCCGCACTGCACATTCTGTTTTAAAACTCCCTCTAAATCTAGCCCAGGAAGAATCGCCCGATCTGCAACTTTAGCAAAAATAGTGTACGAGGTATAATGCTACGACAATGTAAACTTTTAATGTGGGAGGAAAGTACAGTCGCATAAAAAAGCTGTAGAAGCACTAAATCGAACGCTCCAGGATTTGCGCAGCTATACCGATGTAATGAGAGGAATGGTGGTTTTACTGGCTGGTGACTCGGCAAATTTTACCTGTCATTCAAAAGGACACACCTGCAGATGAAATTAAAGCATGGCTCAAGTCGTCTATTTTATGGAACAAGGTGACAAAATTCAGTTTAACTATGAATATGAGAGTGCATTTGTATAATGATATCAATGCTGGAAATTATGCTGACACACTATTAAAAATTGGCGATGGGCGGTTGGAAACGGATGCTGAGGGCTGCGTTGAATTGACGAGAGATTTTTGTAATTTAGTACAGAGTCATACCAAATTAATTGCAAGCGTTTATTCAGATTTAACGAACAACATGCATGAAGACAAATGGTTATGTGAAGGGGCGATTTTTGCACCAAAAAATGAGAGCATTAACAAAATAAATTCAGATATATTAAGCGAAGTAGCAGGAAAAATAACAGTGTATTTGTCAGTAGACACAGTTATGGACACAGAACAGAGCACTTCATATCCCGTAGAGTTTCTAAATTCTCTAGAGTTTTGAGGTGTACCCTCACATAAGCTTCAATTAAAATTAGGCGTCCCAGTCATGCTAATGCGAAATTTAGATGCTCCTCGGTTATGTAACGGGACAAGGCTGCGTGTGACACATCTTGGACGGAACATATCAATGCTACAATTTTGACAGGCGTAGGAAAAGGTGAAAATGTTATTATATTACGGATCCCTATAATTGCCACAGATCTTCCTTTTCAATTCAAAAGGTTGCAGTTCCCTATTAAGCTCAGTTTTGCAATGACAATTAATAAAGCGCAAGGGCCAACGTTACAGGTAGCGGGGGTCAACTTAGAAAAACCGTGCTTCTCTCATGGTCAGCTGTATGTAGCATGTTCGCGTGTGTGAAATGCCCAGAATCTCCACATTCTTTCCCCGAATGGAACATGGACATATAACATTGTGTACAGTAGCGTCTTAAAATAGTGTTCAGTTAGTTTTTTTTCCAAAACTCCCACAATCAATTAATCAGAATTCCCACAGATCTGCCCTTTCAATTCAAAATTTCCTAATTAGCTCAGCTTCTTTTCAATTCCAAATGCTGCACTTCTAACGGACCTATTAAGCTCAGTTTCCTTTCAACTCAAAAGGCTACATCTCTGACGGATCTTTTATTTGGCTCAGTTTCCTTTCAATTCATAAAACTGCATCTCTGACGAATCAATTTAGCTCAGTTTCTTTTCAAAAATCTGCATCCCTGACGGATAACTATGCTTAGTTTAATTAAAAAAATATCCCATTCCCATTTGGAATAAACAGGCTATTTTCATGCTTTCCTATACGCTGCGTTTCAAAACATTTAAATAGGCTGACGAATCAATTTTGCTCAGTTTCCTTTTAATGGCTGCATTTCTGACAAATCTATAAAACTCAGTTTTATTCCAATTCAAAAAGCAATGGATAGTTCATTTCCCAATGACCATGCGGGCGAAGCCGCGGGTAACAGCTAGTTACTTTATATTTTTCAGGGACAAAAGATAGAGAGAGTAGCCTCGTAAAGATATTGGCCTTTAAACAGAGCAATTTTATTTAACTGATTCCTACAAATTTCCTTACTGAAATTATTTAGTTTAAATTCATATTTAAGTCTAATGTTAAAAAAAAACTTCTATTGGGTATTTAGTCGATGATTATTAAATGTTTGTAATTATTAAAAGTAATACTTAAATTATAGAAATAAAGCAGCCACTATGTACTCCATGTCCTCGTTTATATTTCACCAGCAAAGCATTTTATTATAAATAGATTATTATTTAATTAGGTATCTACCTATTTATATTTGATTAAAATTATGTTGAAAAGGAAATTTTGAGGAAACTGTCCATGGCAGTAAATATTTTTTCTAATTTTATAAAATATAAATAGGTGATTATTTAATTAGGTATCTACCTATTTATATTTGATTAAAATTATGTTGAAAAGGAAATTTTGAGGAAACTGTCAATGGCAGTAAATATTTTTTCTAAAGGTCCAAAATACAATTTTCCGATCTGATACTTGGGGAAAATTGTTTGAGTTTATTCGGTTGACACACCTCTTCAGAGATTGGGAATTTGTACATTTTGAATTACTATTAGTGGAGGCGAAGAAACAAGTGCTTCGATGGTAATATACAGGGTCATTTTTAATTTACTGAAGACCTTTTGGAAATATATTATTTACATCATAACAATAACATCTGTAAGAAAAAAAATATTTTTCTTCAATTTTTATTTTCATACAAATATAAAAATATCATAAGCGTCGACCGGCCCAGCGCGGCGGCGCGTCTCAGAGGTTACTTTATAATACTTATTATAAATTTTAACATTTGTGATTTTTTTTTAATTTTATTTGCTTATTTATAGTCAACCAAATCTAAGAAATACATTCTAACAGCTGTCAGACTCATTGCGCCAAGCATTCCAACCAAAAAACGGGAAATATTCGATTCTTTAAAAAAATCGATATTGTTTATTTAGAGTTGGTAATCATTTACAGTTTGGTTTGAATAATACCAAAATAAATTAAAAACGGATAATTTAAAACACAAGATTTATCCGTTTCTTTGTATTTGTAGTTACTGCTTATTTCTAGAGGCAAAATTATAAAATTTATTCAATCACTTTCAGTACAACTAGTTAACTGTCATTGTTTATATTAATTATTATGATTTTCAATAATGCAGTCAAAATTAATGTCTCTTTCAAAGACATCCATAATCCATTTTTTTTTGTTTTTTCTACCACTTTTGCCCAATTATCCTTTTGACATGGGCACATGCTTCAACGAATATAGAATAAACAGTCCAAAAAGTTAAAGCCGAGTCACAAAATAAGAAGACTAGCACAAAATCACAAAATTACGTACAGTAAGCTCCCGAAATGGCGGGAGATTGAAGTTATGTAGTGGTTTTTTCAGCGCGGCCTTGTTTGTTGGCCATTGATAAAATAAAAAATAATTTGTTTTATTCATGATTAATGTAATTTAAGGAATTTTAAAAATAAAAATTTAATTAAACAAATAATACATTAAAAAAATGTATGGTTCGATTATTTGAATAGTTTTACCGATTATTTAAATATTTTTGTCGATTATTCACATAACATTAAATTTTAATAATCTATCTATAATCTATCATAACATTGAATTTTAACACCACGGTAAGGTACATAGCGACATATCATTGAAACGACGTCAAGTAAAAAAGTTGATACTGGTTATTTTTTAAATATTTTATTTTGTTTGAAATATTCGAATTTATATTAGTTATAAAAAACTATACAGGTTTTAATGAAATATAGATAACTTCATAATTCTTCGGATTTACGTAAAAGGTTATTTTAAATCGTGTGATCGATTTAAAATAACCTTTTATTATGACTCGCTGAATTTTTGTAATGAAGCAATCAATATATTCCCAAAAGGTCTTTAGTAAATTAAAAATGACCCTGTATATCTCAGGTCTGTTTATCAGTTTATCAGCTCAAGAGCCTTGAAATATCGTCATCAACTCTTTGATTGGTTAAGCTGTCGTTAGAACTTCGCAATATAACGCATCAGCAAATTATGAACAATATTGTAAATAAAATTTACAACAGGCTAGCCTTAAACTTTTTAATATTTCGACTGAAAGACTCTGCATCCATGGTCATGTAATAAACTTTTTTTTTAAAAACTAACTACTTTTAAAAATAAGTTAAATTTGGCGGTGATTTTGATATCAACTCAACCAAAACTACATATTAAGTTTAATTTATTATTGTATAAACTTAAGCAACGCGTAATGGATAAATCCGTTGGTACCACTATTGAGAAAATAAAGCTGCAAGAACTAAACAATGAAGCCAAATTAAAAGAAAAGCGAGAACGTAAGATATTATCTACAATTACTTATTAGTCATTATTAAAAAAATAAGTGGTCAAAACTATCTCATCATTATTGTGTCCCTTTGTCGTGTGTCGTCTGCCAAGCGTGGCACTATGGCAAATGTCTCCTATGAGTCAATCTATGCGGGTTGCTTATGTTCAGCAATGGACTTCTGTCAGGCTGTCATATATGAATGGTACTGCATTTAATTTAAATTATTTAATTAATTAACAAAAGGGTTAGGACTTATCATCCCCACACTAGGATCTTTTCAAGTAGCGTGGAGACATTTTACAAATACCAATAGCAAATGATTCACGTGAAATGAAAAATAATCACAATGAAAAACTTACAAACCCGGATCAACTATTTTTATACGTGGTAGAGCCACGCTGCAGCTATATTACGCTTGTAGCACGAATGGGTCGGCACGACCGGGGAAAGACCATGCTCTCACAGAATACCAGCGTAAAATAGCAGCTTAATACTGCTGTGTTTCGTATGATGAGTGTAGAGTTCCGGAGACCCTTTTTACTGAAAACGTGGCATTCCATCTTAGTCCTCAGGGGTGACAACGCATCTGCGGTTAGATTCTTAATCGAGGATAAATGTAGATGTCTATGGGCCACAGCATCCATTTACCATCAGGTGGACTGTCTGCTCGTTTGACATCGTGCTTAGAGCTGTTTGTAGGCAATATAACTGCTTGACCCAAACGTAGTACGTACGTACGCGGCCGCAGCGCAGTGCCACAGACAACTCCTTACCTACTGTGCTAGCGAACCATTATTACTTTAATTATTTATCTATACATATAAATTTTGCATATAAAGTTTGCCGACAAACTGGCTTACAGTTTGGCAAAATTTAAAATATAAATAATGTACACTTTTTATAAGAATAAATTAAAAAAATATATAAAATCAATTGTCTGTCTATGATATCGAATTAACCGGCTTCCTTTAACCTCAAGGGGTTATTTGCCGGCTGTTAAGACACCGCGCTAATCCTCGGAGTAGTCGATCCGACCGATTGAAATGAAACTTCACGGACAGATAGAAAGTAATACCAGGAGTGATCTAGGCTATAAATTTTCCGGAATAAAAATGAAGATTTTTCTGGTTGGTTAGCGCTCACTGTAAGTTTCACAGCCGGCGGCACCAATGAAATTGTCAATTGTAATTTTAAGTGCTGACTGCTGATGTACCAACGTGCTCGGTGGCGAAGGAAACATCCTGAGAAAACCTGCATGCCTGAGAAATAAATATTTTGAGGACACGTAAGCACACGCAACACGGTGGACATTTGCTCTAAAACCCTCTCAAAAATGACAGGAGGCTTGTGTCCAACAGTGGGACGTATACAGGCTGGTGGGACGTATATATACTGGGTGGATCGCTAGGTTAATATAAAATCATAAATCAACAAACTTTTTACTTGAAGTTTTTTACACAGTCGAAGCAACAGTAGCGTCACTTAACAGAACGCTACGAGAAACCATTGCACTTGTAGAGAAATCAGAACAGGAACAATCGGAGTTAACTAAAAGAATCGATAAACTTCGTTGCCAGGTGGAGTTGGCAAGAATACGTCGTGACGCTTTATTAACACAAATTGACGCCTATAAAAATGAGTTAGAAGAGTTGAAAAACAAATCGGTAAACAAATTCATGATAAAAGTTTGCAGTGAAGTGGTGTAATTTCTGTAGTTAACTACAACGCACCATAGACTAACTAACAGTCTCTCTCTCTCTCTCTCCGATCCCTATCTATACATAATTTATGTAGAAAATAATAACGACATCATCACCATCACAGTTTATCAAAGGTAAACTGCTAAACGTAGGCCTCATCCATCGATTGACATTATATAGCAACTGCAGTTTTTTCTATTTCTAGTTGTTATTTAGAAAGCGCTGCTGCTGCGGCTGTTGCGATACCCAAGGAACGGTATAGGGTAGTGTAGTTGGATATTCTTACACCAATTCACGGTAAACGACATAATTTATGGTAATATATTGTCGTTAAAGGCTGATTTACACAGGCGTCAGTGCTGACGCCGATAACTGGCGCTCATGTTCATCTCTGAACTGTCACTATCTTGCCTGGAATTGATGATTACATATGCAAGCTACATTTGTATAAACTCAAAAATTTTCTGTCTTATTATAATCAAAAATAATTAACAGCTTACGTAATTAATTACAAAACATGCAGTTTTAAAAATGTTTACTATTTCTTAGATATTGCATAGGGGCCGTCCATTAATCATGTGATGTTTTTTTTTACAATTTATAACCGCCCCTCCCGCTTGGTGATACGTGATTAGGTTTAAGACTAACACCCCCCCCCCCCACTCAAAATCATGTGTATTTTTTAGTACCTACAAAGAATCTTAATTTTTTTTTAATATTATGTTTAAAGACATCTATAAAGTATAAGTAATCTAGTTTTATTCTGAAATTAAAGACCATGATAAAATGTCTAGAAAGGTTGCAGGTTGTTTTTGACTGGCATAAAAATAATATTAAAGGAATGGTGTAATTTAATCATGCAAAACATATATTGTACTAGATGAACATATTTATTTTACATTGTCCTTGGACCACGGATTAGCAAGACTTTCTTCAACACTAACAACTGGATAAGCATCTTGCAAGTCAGTTGTTGGCACTGTGCTTTATTGAAGATCAGCGTTGGTTTCATCAAGCCACTCGGCGTCATCATTTTCGCGCACTACACAGATAATCTCTCTCCATCTACCGATCGATCGTCGCGTGAGGATGCGTGAAGGACAAACATTGTGCATCTCTAGATTATTATTGCTCGAATTAGGTTCATGCTTGTGACATGAATTTACATGTACAGGCGAGTCAAGGACACATCACGTCGCTTTTCGGTTTATAAATCGCGCGTTTGACGAAAAAATAAATACACGTGATAATCTTACTGCACCCCCCACCTCCCCCCTTGTGATATTTTGTGATTTTTGCCAACAGAATACCATAACACACAATAGAATGGCTGTCAAACTTATTTTGTACGAGGAAAGGCGTCGCTGGGAGCACACATACAAGCAATTACGTCGTATTAACTACAAACCCGGTTCGCTGTGTTGGTAGACGGATTTTAATACATATTTATTTGTAAATAGCGTGCAATTTGGCATTTTGTAAATAATTTGCATGCAAAATTTGGAAACGATTGTAACGTCAAAAGGCATCTCGTGTTGACGACATTTATACGTGTGAATTGACGTCTTAGTGGCATTTTAGTGGCTACACGGGCACCGCCTACACCCCCGTTCTATTATTTATGTATTATAGTATTCTATGTTTTTTCCATACACCCTCCACCCTTTCGAGCCCCACGTGATTAATGGACGGCCCCATATCGAACCCGGGTTGCGCGCATATTGATTAATTAAAACTCCCGTACTCCCGCAAAGATAATAAGACAACGTCTTAAATCTCATAAAATCTTATCCCGAGTTCTCATTAAGTGTAAAGGTACTTAAAAATAAGAGTCAATTCCTGCACATAACTAAAAATGTTAATTATTATTTTACTTTCCAATTTATAATTTATATCATATCAAGCGAGTGCCTGCGTCCAGCAATGGGAGGGACACATTTAGACTGGATTTTTCTTAACTTTGTACATACTTTTGTATTTAAATAGGATGAAGGTATATCAAGAGTTTGGAGTCTACGTTCCTCCATATGTCATGCGGTACAAAATGCGTCCGACAACTATGATATTTGGGCTCTTCTTATGAAACCTATAACTGTTGAACCTTCACCTCAAATAAATAACCCGTCAGTTGATGATCAACGTCAGGCTTTAGAATTCGAAGGTAAACTAAGGGAAGCACTCCAAAGAAAGGAAAATGCCCTCGCAGAGCAAGAACGCTTGTTAAATGAACCAGAAAACGGAACAGAATTCATACGGTAGGTATATTGTCTTTAATATTAACACAATTTACTTGTCTTATAATAATTACACTTTTAAATACTAATGGAGAAATGAGGTAGAACTTATATAACGTAAGTATAAAAATGAGGTGTTTATTTTACTAAATTGAAGTGAGATGACAGATGACCTGATGGTAAGTAGCTTCTGCAGCCCATTGACACTTGCAGCTAAATTCAAACAAAGAAAGCTAAAGACGTGTTGTCACCTCCGTGGATCAAGATGGAATGCCTCACAGCTTGTAAGTATAGGTACTGGATCTCTATAACCTTCAGACCGAAACACAGAAGTGCTGGCACTGTTGCTTGGTCACAAAAGTAGATAGCAAGGCTTGTACCTAGCCGGACGGACATCTAGACAGAAAAGTCTTACCACCTAAAGTATAAATGTTACATATTACTTCTGTAATTCCTGTAAGGACTTGTGATACCTTCTACTCTAAATGCTTACCTCACCAGCGCGTGATGCACTCTGAAAATCAATAATAATAGGTATACATTCTATATCTCTCAGTTATTTCACCCGACGCCAAGGGGAATAATATGATGATGGATCATTCTGTGGTGTCCTACTTAACACAATTTTAAAAATTTAAAGTTATTTTATTACAAATCAAATTGATATTTCCAATAATGTATTTTTACAGCATCAAGAATGCTCTGAAATATTCAATAGAGAAGATAATAAGTCTTCGTAGTAATTGAAAAAAGATTTAAATTTCAATAATTATTATATTTGTTTTATTTATAATTCCATGCCAGTTGAAAAGAAGGCGTAAGTGCTATTTTGGTCTACCATCACTATCATAGTCTTAGTAGGTAGTATGAAAAAGGTTTCAATTTCAATATTATAGTCTTTGTAGTAATTGAAAAAAGATTTCAATTTATATAATTACTAAATTTGTTTTATTTGTAATCCCAATTCCAATTAAAAAAGGCGTAAGTGCTATGCTATAGGGTCTACCATTACTATCATATTCTTCGCAGTAATTGAAAACACATTTCAAATTAAATTTGTGATTCCAATACCAGTTAATAAAGCTATAAGCGCGATTTAGTCTACCATCACTATTATATTTCTTTTTTAATTTTATTTTGTTAAAAAAAATCGAACTGATTTTAATGAGAACATGATCAGATATTCGTGATATTTATAAGATATATTATCCAAAACGCAAAAAGTTCAATGAGTACGTTCTGCCCACAGGATCTGCCGTTCCAATCCTATAATAAACTTTCCAAGTATTCTACTCCTTAATGTAAATGTATAAGTGCGAGACCGAAATCCCACCACGTAATTACTATACTTTTCTATTGGCAATAAAAAATTATGAACAAATGTTAATAGAGCAATACTTTTTTTGCCAGGTTTCCTATCAAAATACGACCGCAAGTATTTTGAATTAAATTTATTTAATTATTTTTTTTGTGAACAATTTCATTTACTGGTTTTGATAATGTTTACTGTCAATAATTGTAATAAAATTTTTGGGAAAACTTAAGTTTGGGGTGCCCATTTAATTAGATCGCAAAGTCGCAAGGTTACAAGGTACAATTTTAATAATGTATTTTAACCCTTATTTGTGACCACTTTTTATTCGGCAACCCTACTCTATCGTTTAACGGCAGCTCTACACGTTGGCCATCATAGTGGCGAATGTAGTTGCAAAGATATCGACAAAGAGTTTTCGGTGGCGTCCACACTAGGGATGTCGATGTTGCAGAAACATCGATGTTGGTATCGATAGCTTAACATCGATGTTTGATGTTTATCCTACTTAAAACATCGATGTTTTGCACATGTACCTATGTAAAAGGTTAAAATAAGATGAATAAAAAATTAATAAGTAATGTTTTTTATGGTTTATTATTGATTTAAAATTAATAAATTTTTTAGTGTGAAACAGTAATTTAAAAAAAAATGGGAAGAAGTTAACAAATATCTAGGCTATTGGTTATATTTTTTGTTGATTATGACGAATGTTATTATTTTGATCTTTAAATGTTCTTATACATCTACAAATCCGGTATTAAAAGTTAACTATGGGATCTAATTTACGATTTAGACGTAGGTTTTATATCAAGTATTAATAAAAATATGAGAATAGAGAAAAAATTAACAAACTACACAAATACAAAATGAAAGAATTTTCCGTCACATCTATACACAATTTTTAACCAGGCAGTCCAAGCAGTAAGTATCGCAGCCCTTTATAAAATGCACAGTCAAATGCACTATGCAGCGAAATTGTTATGCTCACGATCACCCAGTAATTTATTTTCATAAACTTCAAGTGAACAAAAAACTCGTTATCACATGCTCAAAAAAAAACAGCGAAATATAACTGAATTGTGTAGATACATATTGTTTCAAAATTATGTGTGTATAGACAGCAAGGAAAAAACAATTAATTCGCATATCAATTTACTTAAAATAGTTAGTAGGCGACAACTGATAACGACACCACATATGTAATAACAAAGTAAAAGCAGTGACAACTGTGACATTATAGTTCACACTCGACAGTAAGTTTCACACATCATAATGATGTTTTTTGGTGATCGATACGTTTAGGAATCCTGAATCATTCCAAATTTTAAACCTTTAATATAATGAAAGATTTAGGACATCCCTAATCCACACGTTGGAAGGTCGTTCAGTTTACTTCGGTTCAGCTTCAGTCCAATGTGCGGACGAATTTATTAAAATGGATATTGAGGCGCTAACAGCTCCTGCGGTTTATTTATTCACAGCATAACGCTACTACAAATTGCTACAATGCAAAGCTAATACAATGTGTAAGGGATAAATAAAGCTAAAGAAATAACTAAAATTCCCTTTTATGACAGCCGTGATTTAAATTAAATGACTAAAATTAAGTACTTCTTATTAAGTATGTAAAACCAAATATTAATAAATTTCTTAAACACACGTAGTAGCGGTAGGTATGTTGTGTATAAATAAACCGCAGCAGCTGTTAGGGTCCGCACGTTGGCATAAACCGAAGTAAATTAAAGGACTTTCCAACCAGTGTTGCCGTATGAATAAAAAAAGATGCACTAAACCCTTATCAAATTGTGCTATATTTTACAAAAATTTTCTTTCTAAAATCCACCAAATTCCGCTAAGTTGTATCCCGTAAATGTAAAAGGAAATAGGAAAAAATGCGATTATTTAGAGACATCTTCATTTATTTAAGTGATATTAGGTACTAAAATCAACTAAATTAGAAAATTCCACTACGAGCCTACACCTCCTTCTATACCTTTTTTCACACTTTAAGTGATTTGTCGAGGACATTTTCAGGTAAGTCTTTGTGTGGCAGCTTTGCTTAAGAATTTTTTATTGATGACGTTATTTACTTTTGATAATGTTCATAACTACATACAAAATTTTTGTCGATAATACCCGAACGATACTCGCTAGTGTTTTTTATCACACTGTTTTGCCAACTAATGTTAAATTTCTGCCAGATTCCACAAGATAATTTTTAGCGCTTTGATATTTTAAAAAAGCGCTTAAATTACACCAGACCTAGCGCCAAATGCAGTAAAACGGCAACACTGCTTCCAACGTGTGGACGCGATCACAAACTCTTGGCCAATATCTTTACCAGTTTGCTATCACAGAACACTAATACCCTAAAAAAAGTCAGTAATTTTTTTATATATGTTTATGATTCATAAAAATATTATTATACCAATGCTATGAACATAATTCTATTCAACAGACAGACACCTGCTTAAATATGGTTGCTTAGTGGTTGCGGTCGAATTAAAAATGGGCATGCAAGGCATGTAAGGGGCATTATCCATAAATATTACTGAAGACTGGCAGGCCGGGCAGTAGTAGTACGTTCTGTAAACACTCTTTAAATGTAGCAGCATTCATTTCTTCGTGGTAATCAGTGGTTGTTTTTGACTCAAATGCGAGTAAGCCGTTTTCCAGAAAACCGTACTTTGAAGTACCGGCGTAACATATTATGAGCCGGGCCCCGTTACCCGTCGGTTCTTTCGACGTCGATGCTACTGTGCCGTCTGTCCAAGACCGAGACACCGTGTGATTGGCATTTAGCCACGTCTCGTCGATGAAAACTACATTGTTCCAGTCATCAATTTCCTTACTTCTCTTTAAAAAGATACTCTCTTTAAAATAATATATCGCTCGAGAAGAACTTTTCTCTTGTCAGTTATTTTTATATTCAAAACCAATTTGTCTTAAAACTTTGGATAAGGCTGTTTTACATCCCATAAACAAACCAGCTGCCTTTAAGGATCCCAAAAGCGATGTTCTGTTCAGGTACTCATTTCTCGAATAGTAGCCATATATATGATTCCTTATTGCATCGGCGTCAAAGGCATCGATATTTGACACAGGTTTTGTTCCGCATTTTTTCTTCAGTGTTCGTAAAACTTTTTCTTCCGTACCAGTTGGGCCGAACTTTTCTTTATTAATTTTCGTTATCGTCCCTTTGCTCACGCCAAGCGCCTGAGAAGCGTGCTCTTGTACTTGTTCGAGAGGTAACAAGGGTCCGCCATTTTGTTTTTCTCGCTCAAAGTAATCTTGTAACTTGATTATTAGCTCACGGTTTTCACTTTTAATGGTTTTTGCACGTTTCGGCATTGCTATGCACCAAAAGCACAAGACAAATCGTAGTCCAATTCAGCGCCAATGTCAATTTATTAGCAAGAACAGTCAGTTAAACGAAAACCAGGAAACAGCACAAAACAAAATCAAAGTCCAATTTAGCGCCGATGTCAATATAAGTAGCAGGAACAGTCAATAAAACGAAAGCCGGATCACAAAAAAAAAAAAAATCGAGAAGCACTGAAGATCGAAGACTATGCGCACGAGACGACAATAGACGACTGAGATAGCGAGGGGCGTTGAATGAACGAACAAGTTAATTCGACCGTCGACGTACTGTGAACGAGTAGACGGTTTACGAACAATCAATGGACTAGTCGTAGTCGAATCTTTAAACGCCATAATTGAAAGTACATAACGTTCATTTTGATTAGCAACACGACGCCTGACTCGAGAACGTGGTCGGATAACTTTAATTCATATTATGTTCGTTGTAATAATACAAATAATTATGTGCAAATTTGAAATTTAAGATTTTAAATTAAAATATTACTAAAATCTTGCATTAAAAATAATAATGTACATAAAATCAGTTGATATTCTAAACACGTCTGAATAGTTTTTTTTTCAAAGTCGGATATCTGTAAACTCTTTCGAAAAATTATGTCATTTTTTACATCGTTTCTTAATAATAAGCTAGAGGGAACAGTGAAAGGGATAGAAGAATTATGTGAAGCGTAAAGTCTATGGTGAGTCTAGCGGTAAGTCTTATTATGGAAATGACGAATCCACGACCTATATATCTATATCTTGGAGTAATTACATACATTGTGCAGGCGACATATAAAAATGAAGTGTAATATTTGACAGATATCATAGCGAGGAAGTTAATTTGTTCGAAACATATAAAGGATAATGTTTGATTTTGTACTACGAAGCTGACACCAAAAATTCTTAGAAAATCAAAAACTGAATAAACTACCAAGTTATTAGTTTTATTATATCTTTTTAAAATAGTTTCCATTCACATCAATATATCGCTGCATCTGATGGAACCAATGAGAAAAGCACTTTGCCTATTCGTCCTTAGGGGTCTCTTCGATGGCATTTTGAAACA